TATATATATGTATGTATATATATTTAACTTTTTTATGAATTGGTTTGTTTGTGATCAGCATGTCTCAAAAAGCAAAGGAACATTCTGCCTGGAGGTGTATTGTTGTAGATTACTGGAGGTGTATGTTGACACTCAAGAAAGACACAAGTCCATTTTGACAATGTTGAAGCACAAATATACAGTGTAGTTAATGTCACATTCCAAGGTCAGGCAGTATTTCCATCCACCATCTATTCATTTTTTATCCAGTGTAGTTAATGTCACATTCCAAGGTCGGGCAGTATTTCCATCCACCATCTAGTCATTTTCATCCGCTTACCTGTTACCGGGGCGCGGGGGCTGCAGTCTCTATGACCGCCACCTGCTGGTGGTGAGTCCACTGGAAGGTACCAACCGCCCTAACCGGGATTCGATCTTGCCCAGGAGGTGAACCCTTGGGGTTCCACACCAACGACAGAGACATTGCCTCTGGGCCAAAGCGCCACTGCAGTATTTCCAATACCGGATAAATATGATATTCTGTGCATTTACGGTGCAGGTAAGAGTAAGTCCATCAGTGAGTATCCACTGGCTTTGGCATTGGCCGACAATCGAATCATCTTTTCCTGCTGCTCGCCGTTCCTTCAACGTAACTTCATCGCTGAGTGTAGTTTTGAAGTCGCGAATCCGTTCTAAAATGACGACTCCTTCAGCCGCAACAAGAGCTGCTCGTTCATTCATGTCTAACGTAAGGAGATGCCCCGCTTCACCTACTTCGCTGAAACACCGCTGTTGGTGTGTTTAATTATTTATTTATTTTTTTTCCTGGTGATCTGTTAAAAATAACTCTCTTCTACGAACCTAAAGTACGTTCTTGAATGTAACAGGAAAAAAAAAAAGGAAGTACTACACGCATCAGTTCATCAAATAGTTCTGACTTCAGGACATTTTTTTTTTTTTTTCAATTTTGGGGCTGAAACATCCATGCTTTTTATACCACAGTACTGCCGTACTCCATGTACCTTTTGCTGTCAAAAACTTTGTTGATGGACATAATTATTTAAAAGTATGATAAAAACAAAAATCTTATTATTTTTTCCAAACAAGAGCATGGTGATATTCTGCAAAAATGAAAAATCTATAAAGGTAGAAAGAGTGACTGAGGTGTTAGTTTCTCTTCTGTTATGAGACAAGACTGGATGGAAGTGTTAGTCAATAAAGTAAACATTCAGACACACCAATATGTCTAGTGGTGCATGAAAAAAATATGTATATATAGATCCAAAATAGTTACATCGAGGGCAACTGGACGAAGTAGGTTTTCTTGAAGATGTTTCACCTCATCTTCAACAACAAGAAACATCTTCAAAAAAAAAAAACCCACCTCCAGTTGCCCTCGATGTAACTATTTTTGGGTTAAATGACCTGGATGACTGAGAACCTACACCTACACAGATATATTTATAGATGTTTTTCAGCTCATTGTGGTTTTGTCTTAGTCATGAAAATGTCGCCGACCTTTTTTTTTTTTAACGCATTTGTTGATATCATAAACAATTGTTCATGTTTGATGTGATGTGCCTGGGTATTATTATGAAAGCACGGTTGGTGCTCTTGCCTAAATATATACAGGAGTTGGACAATGAAACTGAAACAGTGGCCAATTTAGTGTTGGAGGTTTCATGGCTAAATTCAGTTCAAAAGAGAACAAATTGCTGGTGCACTTCTTGCTGGCGCATCTGTGACTAAGGCAGCAAGTCTTTGTGATGTATCAATAGCCACGGTATCCGGGGTAATGTCAGCATACCACCGAGAAGGACGAACCACATCCAACAGGAGTGACTGTGGACGCAGGAGGAAGCTGTCTGAAAGGGATGTCCGATAAAACCGCAGCTGCCCAACTCACTGCAGAATTAAATGTGCACCTCAACTCTCCTGTTTCCACCAGAACTGGCCATCAGGAGCTCGACCCGGCTGCTATAGCCAAACCTTTGGTCAACAGGCGTTTCAGTGTCATTGTCCAACACAGAATATATATATATATATATGTATATATATATATTTATGTATATATGTATATATATATATTTATGTATATATATATATTTATGTATATATGTATATGTATATATATGTATGTATGTATGTAGTAGTATAATAGCACATCAAATTCTCATTGGTGGTTTATGGGTTTTGACAAAAAAATTAACAGTGAAGGAAAGCAAGTGACTGGAAGGCACCAATGCATTAACCATATGATACTATTTATAACAGAGGAAGGATGACCCAGTAACTCACATGTGTATATGAACATGTGAATGGAGCAAAAAAAGAAGTGAGAGAAGAAAGAGAGAGAGAGAGAGAGAGAGAGAGCATGGTACGTGCACAGCTCAGAGGCTTGGATCTTCTCGTCATAGACGCTGGTTGAAGTTAAGGCAGTAAATCAGGGAACACAGTAAATGGAAATACCTTTGCGAGGGAGTCTAAGTGCCAGGCAGAGTAGAAACTGAGCATGCTCAGATACAGGGAAGATCAGCAGGTTGCTACAAAACAGTTTTCCAACTTCTTATCCCACTACTGTTATTCAGCAGGTTGTCATACCAATCAGTATTTATACTAGTTTCACAGTATGAATAGCCTAAGGCAGCGAGCCCCAACCTTACTTGTTCTAAGGACCGGTTAGCCGGAATTAGCTGGTTCCGGAACGACAGCGACTGTGTTCTTTAGCAAAGGGCTGTTTAAGGATTTTTAAGGCGCAGTAAATTTGACTAAATGTTATTTTTAAAAAACCCTTCCTAGGCTTATTCTGTTTCTATTGGCATTCTCTTATTTTTGAAAAACTTCCCTAGATATATGACAGAAGTAAATGGACATTAGCAGATGGTCTTTGAATTAAGTAAATTATCAATGAATTCACTGCAGCGCGGCACTAAATGACCCATGGACCGGTACCGATCCAAGCACCGGCCGTAGGGGACACATGCTCGAGACAGAGATTTATTCAGCACAACTTTTTCCCCTTATGTTTTGAACACGGACCACAGTGAGATTTCAACCGGATTCTGTTACTGTATATGACTTATCTTTTTTGAACTGCTAAAAAAAATATATTACACAGATACAGAGCAGGTTTTACCTACACAGGTGTCCAAACGGTGGCGTGACAAAAAAAATATATATATATATTCCTTGTCCTAAAATGACCCTTTATATGTCATTTTAATCCATTCATAGAAGCCAATTGTGCGGCTGCTGTGGAGCTATACTACAGCAGCTTGTCCTGAACATGCATTATGGTGTACATTACCGCATGATTCTTAAATTTTAATGTCACCGCGCAGTGTAAAAATTGAAGCTAAATGGCCTGTCATGAAACGACATGCTCTTTAATCATGGATGCTATTAAACCCAGAGATCCACATCTGCCGGTCTAATATATGACATAAAGGTCTGACATTGGGTATGAAATAAAACTCTCTTACAGAGATGGTATATTTACCCTTTATAAATATACATGAGGAAGTAAGGTGTTATCTAGGTCTGTGGCTTTGACTAGAAATGTTATCCATCGTCGCAATCCTCAATTCAAGACAGTGGAAAAGTCATTCGGGTGACGGATTCTGTTGTATGAACCAAAACTCATACAGATGATCCAAAGTACTTTAAGCAAGTGCCAAAAGCAGTACTGTAAGGTTTTATAGTACATAGTACTGAACATAGCTCATTTCCAATCCTAGAAGATACTTTAGTTTCAAGTGGAGGTGCAGACACCTGAGGAAATAACTGAAGACTGGTTATTTAAATCTAGACTACGAAAAACTTATATTTAAAACTTATTTTATTTTATGACCAAATATGACATTACTTGGTGTTACTTCAGTCAATTTGAAATTTGGTAATTTTTTTCTCTTGTTGTTATTGTAAACACAAGAAAAATATATATATTTTTTTGATGATCTTTCATTAGGAACCAAAAAGTTTACATCTATACCAAATGTTTCAAACTCACGGCCCGGGGGCCAAATGTGGCCCGCCAAGCTGTTTTGTATGGCCCGTGCGAGCTTAAAAAGCATTTAGTAAAGTCGATGCAGTTTCTTAACCTAAGAAATGTAACATTTTTATATTACACAGAATTGAACAATATTTGTATCTTGAATAAATAATAGTCAATGGCAGAAACACGTATTAGTTTGTAAAGGAGTAGTTACGTCTATTTTTTTTTTTTTTTTTTTTTTACTGTGGCCCACTACCAAATTATCTATGGACTGGTGCTGGTCCTCGGACCAGGGTTTAGGGACAGTCTTCTATTTACAACCGGCAACTGTATTGCTGATGTGGCCCTGGTTGAAAATGACATTGACACCCCTGATCTATACAGTAGCTGTAAAATGCTAACTTTGTACTTAAGTAAACGATATTAATTTGGATAATTCTTCTCTAACTCTTGATCAATACTCACTCTGTACTAAGACAGACAGTGTCCTTCAAGAACTAGACAACATATATTTCAGCTGTTATTTCTCCTCTTCCTCTCCTCATCCTCCCGTCCAATACCATGCTGGGACACCGCTACGGTGGGAGGGCTGAGCTCAGTCCTCCTTTGGTTTGGAGGGTTGTTGTTGTTGTTGTTGTTGTTGTTGTTGTTGCCGCTGAAAAAGTGAGGTCATGGATTAAAAATTACAAAGATTGATTGACTCAGGTTATTGTCACATGGTCCTGACAACAGTGATGATGATGTTGACAACCGTGTTGTTTTCAAGCGGTGGTAGAGAGTTGATAAAAACCCCCCCCCCCCCCCCCACATCATATTGTAAAGCCTTCACAGCAAAAGTGATCCTGGGGTGTCACGGCCGCTGTTGGCTTTTGTCCCACTGACAACATGGTGGTGACAGCATCGGGGGGTCTACTCCTTTAAAATGAGCCTTTGCGCATAGCCTTCGAATCACCAACAACTGCATCAGTGCTGCTCGGGTTGCCTAGCAACTGGACAGCACAGAGATCCCTAAAGAAAACCTGCTCTATGTAAAAAAAAAAAAAAACACAAGCTTCTGTGATTCTTGACTTGTGACGTGCCAGGTGTTAGCATTTTAGTACAGATGTTTATGTTGCGTGTGACACGGAGGAAAGTTGTAATTGATAAGTTCTCTCTCTCTCTTTCTCTCTCGGTGCTACGGGTCTACGGGTGGCACTGCTTGTGTGTGAATCAGAGGCGGTTTTAATGGTTAAGATGATGCACAGACGTGAAGTTTTGGCTGGCTGTGCGAATCAATGCACCTCGGTGCAGTGTCATGTAGAGGATTTAGGAACGAGTCATAGTTCGTGGCTGGAAGAACATTAAAAAAAACAAAAAAAAAAACTGGTGCCTGCAGATGAAATAGTGCTTGAGAGTTAGTGTTGGGAAATGTCGCAAAAAGTGTCTGGAAAGTATGAAAGAGCACCGGTCACCAACACTCTCAGCATGCTGATGGCTCTGCTTCAGACAGTCCAGCGCATGATCAGCCAGTGGCTGAGGAATTCACCTCAGGTGTCCCCTTGTTGTCTCTGACCACCCCGCACCACATTATTAATGTTTCACCTATAATCCAAATAAATAAATAAATGAATAAATAAACGTAAGAAGGGAGACAAAGATGCGTCCCTATCATCACCATGTCTCCTTCTGCTGTTGTTGAATCTCTGCCGTTTCCTCAGTGCTGGGAGGAGAACGGGAGCAGACCACACTAACGCGCTCCGACGTCTTAAAACGATGGACAGCGGAGGCAGGAGTGGATCGTCCACGCACTATCTGCATTTAAATCTCATATAAAGCTGATGACATTTGCACCGTCGTAACTGAGGCCAGCCACATATCTTGACATTTGTTTTCTTCTTCTTTTTTTTTCTTTCTTCTTCTTTTTTTTTTTTTTTTTTTTTTCCTATCACAGAAGTATAGCCCGGTCTGACGTCTGCATCAGATATTACCGACTGCTTTTTCAATGTGCATTTCCCTCAGTGACTTTGCACTGATCTACATCATCAGCAGCGGCAGCAGCAACGGCAGCAGCAGCAGCTCCAACAGCAGCGCCAACACAGAGAGGGGAGCAAAGAAAAGGGGGGGATCTTTCATTTTTTCTCCTTCGAGAACCCCACTTCAGCTCCCCTTCAGCGTTTCTAGCTTTGACAAATATCTTTCAGCAAGATCACGTTGTGGAATAGTCTGGCGCCACAGCAGCAGCAGCAACAGAAGCAGCAGCAGCAGCAGCAGCATCGCTGGAACCATGCCTCTTCTGCAGATTTGGACTGGGAAATTTCATCCACCGATTTGATCGCTGAGAGGCTGCTGCTCACTCGTCCATACCATCGTTTGATTTGATTTATTTGATTTATTTTTTTTTTAGACAGAGAGAAAATACTCGTCTCCACTTTCCACTGATTCTCTGTGTTTATAGGCTGCTTTCTTTTAAACAAGATGTCTGATCTTGTGGTGTTGGTAGAGGGGCTCTGTGACCTGCACGGATTTCCATAGCTGGAGAAAACAGCAGGGGCCAATTATTAGACTTGTAAATTCAATCGAGAACCGTGTGTTTAAAATGAAGACGTCGCACGCCTAGATGGCTGCTCTCTTCGACAGTTTTCTTTTAACCAAAAAAGGCAATTAATATTTAGTTTGATTGCCTTCTTTTTTTTTTCCTTTTTCTCTTTTTTTTTTTTTACTTTGTGCATTTCTTTTGGGAGGACCACTGGACTGGTTGGATTATAGAAACAACATCCAAGGATTTGTGGAGATGTTGGGTCGTCAAGAAGATAAATTATGTGGAATTTTCTCAGCTCTGGCGGCTTTGTCCTTTCTATGCTTTATTCAAAGGTAAGAAAACGTCACTTTGGTTAAGGGGGGGGGAAAGGGGAAAACGTCTCACACCGGTAGACACTAGTGTCAGTCAATAACTGGCTGGGATCGCGTAAACCCTATTAGCGGGGTACCCAGGCCTGCTCATTAGAGGCATCTCTGCTGATATGTGCTCTATCAGACGCTGCTGTGGCGCCCACGAGCGTAAAAACATGCGCGTGCAAGGCGCTCAAGCCTATTGTGAGTCGAATCTCACCCCTCCATCACCAGCACCGGAATATACTGTACGATGCGTTTATGCAGAGTGGATGGTGTCAACTTTTGTTCTGCACCGCTCTACTGGAAATAACATCATTTGGGCTGCCTGATTGATTTTGTTGGGATCAATCATTCAATCATCGATCGATTATGCAGCCATACGTACGCGGATTTACACGCATAGCAACAGGGCCTACAAGTCGATCCATCTTGACTATCTATTTAATTGAACCAAATTGAAAAAAAAAAAAAAAAAAAGAACAGCCCAGCAGGTCATTATCACCAACAGTAGCACCACCACCATCATCACTATCATCACTATCATCATCATCACCATCGTCAGCATCATCGTTAACTGGAGCTATTGCTGGTGATCTCCAGACAGTTGCACTTCATTAAATAAGTACTGTGATGTTTACATTTTGATTTGCTGCAGACCCGTTTTTCAACACAATCCCAGTTAGAACCACATGATCGGGGCATGATTTTTTTTTTTTTGGTTTCTTGGGGCTGTCTTGTATATCGTCTTTTGTTTGATATGCAAGATGCGTGCTCAGAGAAGACCTGGTTGTTGTCGTCTCTGGTCCACATTTAAACCGCCCACTGAAGATCTGCCAAGGCATGTGTTTCAGATGTCCCTGGTATTTCCTCAATTGCTAATCGTGTGTTTTTTTGGTGTCAAATTCACAAGAGCGTATAGCACGGGGCAGCCTCAATAAACAGCCACACTGCACAGGAGCTAAATGAACAGTGATTTCCTTGGCCCAGCCAGGGGCTAGTGCTCCTGTCAGGGGAGCAATTTGAACTCACTTCTTTCTCCTGCACTCACTCCACACCCTGCACATAATGGGGGAACCTCAGCTGGGGAGCTGCTCCTGGTCAGGTGATGCAGGTCATGGCATCGATGTTATAGCT